GTCTTTGTCTTCAGTACCTGTGAGTTCAACTTCCATACCTGCAAGGAATTCATTCTGCTTTGACTTTTGAGAGTCAAGCTTGTCATTAAAACGAACACTGATTGACTCCTCCACAATCTGTGTTTCTGTATTGTATACTCTGTACCCTCTTGAGCGTTCAAAGTATCCTAGCATAATACACTTTTGTGCTTTAGAGTCAAACTTGTTCAAATAATTTTTTGTATTCAAAATAAAACATGTACATCCAAATAGGTGAAAATAGGAAATGTTGGGCTTTTTGTTCTTCCACAATTCATATGGAGTCTTTTCCAGAATAGGTCTTATGGAGATTCTATTCTGAATGTAACACGTTGTGTTTATTACCTCTGCCCAGAAGATCTTAGCAATGTTAGTCTCGTTGATCATGGTTCTGGCCATTTCTTGCAGTGTTCTGTTCTTTCGTTCTACAACTCCATTTTGCTGGGGAGTTCTAGGACAAGAGAAATCATGCAGAATGCATTTGTCATTAAAGAATGACTCAAAATCTTTGTTTTCAAATTCTCCACCATGATCACTTCTGACTTTGACGATTCTGAGATCCTTTTCATTCTGAACTTGGTTGCAGAAGGTAACAAACACAGAGTGTGACTCGTCCTTGTGCCTTAAGAACTTTACCCATGTCCATCTGCTATAGTCATCTACGATTATTAACCCATACTTCTTGCCACTGACTGAAGCAGTTTTAACTGGTCCAAATAAGTCAATGTGCAGAAGTTCTAATGGCTTGGAGGTGGAAACAACGTTTTTGGATTTGAAAGCTGGTTTTGCAAACTTGCCTTTCTGACATGCTTCACACAAAGCATCTGAATTGAACTTCAGGTTAGGAAGTCCTCTGACCAGATTGAGTTTGTTAATCTGAGATATTCTTCTCATACTAACATGTCCCAATCTTCTGTGCCAGATCCATTGCTCGTTGTTAACAGACAGTAGACATTTTACATTCTGACTTTTTAGTTCAGAAAGTTTTATTTTATAAATGTTGTTTCTCCTCTTTCCATTAAATAGGATAGTCCCATCTTTCTGACTAACAGCTTTGCATGAATTTTGATTGAAGATTATATCATAACCGTTATCACTTAATTGACTTATGGATAACAGGTTATACATTAATCCATCAACTAATAAAACATTACTTATAGAGGGAAGATTTCCATTACCTACTGTTCCAGAGCCAATGATCTTTCCTCTCTGATTGCCTCCAAAGCCTACGTGGCCTCCAGGCTTAAGTTCCAAGCTTTGGAACATATGCCTTCTTCCCGTCATGTGTCGTGAGCAGCCAGAGTCCAGGTACCATGGCTGGTGTTTTTGTTTTGCTGCTAAAGATATCTCTTCTGTATCTGATTCAGAGTCTGACTCAGACGCTTCACTGTCTTCTGTTATGTTTGCCATGAGAGCTATGTTTGCTCTTTCATCATCTGATTCTGAGTCAGCGTCAGATGTGTCAGAATCATCCCATGTAGCCATGAGACTTTTCTTCTTTTCCTTGCCAAACTTCTTTTTGGGCTTCTCCTTCTGAAGCTTTGGGAAATCACTTTTGTAGTGCCCTTATTCATTGCATTCATAGCAGATGATGTCCTTGTTGTTTGGCTTTCTGTTTCCTGAAGAACCTTCAGATCTTCTGTGTCCAGAGGAGGATTCAGACCTTCTGTATCTGGAGAAAGATTCATTCTGATTATCTGATCTTCTGGGATTCCTGAACTTCCTTTGCCTCTGCTTCCATAATTGGTTCACCTTTCTGGAGAGGATGGACAGTTCATCTTCTTCTGATGAGGACCCATCAGAGGTTTCTTCCACATCCTGCAAAACTTTGGAGTCAGATTTTCTGTTAGATTTTAAAGCTAATGGCTTACCTTGCTTTTGAGGTTCATCTGCTTCAAGCTCTATCTCGTGACTTCTGAGGGAGCTGACAAGTTCCTCCAGAGAGATTTTGTTGAGATCCTTGGCTAGCTTAAGCGCTGTGACCATTGGCCTCCATTGTTTTGGCAAGCTTCTGATGATTATCTTAATGTGATCAGCAGTGGAATACCCTTTGTCAAGAACTTTTAGACCAGCAACAAGAATCTGAAATCTTGAAAACATAGTTTCTATTGATTCACTCTCTTCCATCTTGAATGCCTCATACTTCTGGATGAGTGCAAGGGCTTTGGTTTCTTTGACTTGAATGTTGCCTTCATGCGTCATTCTCAGAGAGTCAAACATATTCTTTGCAGTGTCTCTGTTTGATATCTTCTCATATTCTGAATAAGAGATGGCGCTGAGAAGAATTGTTCTGGCCTTGTGATGATTTCTGAACTCACGCTTTTGCTGATCCGTCATTGTTTTCCTGTCAATCTTCTAACCACTTCCATCCACTGGGTGCGTGTATCCATCAGTCACCATATCCCACAGATCAACATCATGGGCCAGAAAGAAACTCTCAATTCTGTCTTTCCAGTAGTCAAAGTTCTCTCCATCAAAGACTGGAGGTTTGCCACTGAATCTGTCTCTTTCTTCATTGTTGTCATTGCTGATGTTTTGATTTGGTCCTGCCATTGTGTTTTTCTGACGCTGGATCTTGTACTGACACGGTTAAGTGTTATAAGCTCAGAACCAGGCGCTCTGATGCCAATTGAAGATGTGAAAAACACAAGAAGGGGGGTTGAATTGTAAAAACTTAAATTAAATGCTAGACAACACTGTATTTTTATCCTGGTTCGTTTGATCTCAAACTACTCCAGTCCACCCGTCAAGGTGATTTCGCCTCTCTCCAATGAGGTCTTAATCCACTATATTCAAAGGATTACAACACTACTTTAACAACTGTTAAAGCCTTCTTGAGTATAACCACAAACCGGTTTATCTCAAGGAAATCTCTTTACATAAAATAGAACAAGAATGTGTTTAACGTTTTCTAATAAAACAGTATATCACAACTGTGATAATTACACAATTTGAAGCTTAGAGTACTGAATTTGCTAAGGCGTTTTAGTAAGCGTGGTGTTTGAAAGCTTGGCAAATTCTATGAGTACATGCGTGCGTCTTTTCCAATGGAGACTTGTTTATATAGGCCAGGTAAATGTACGTTGTCCATAAAAGCCAATTTACTGATAATAACGCACTTTCCTATTTGAGAAGATCTTGTCTGAAGAGAGCCGTTAGCAATTAATTCTGTCTTGAATACCTTAATAACGCTTCAGAGCTTTCTTTGCTTATGACTTAAGATAACGCTTCAGAGTGCTGATGACTTGGTAAAGATCTTTGATCAGAGTCAGAGTGTTTTATGCGCAGATTCTGGTCATCAAGCTTCAGCGTATACTCTGGTAGCTTCAGCGTTACTGATCTTCTGATGCTTCTGATGCTGATGCTGATTCCATCAGAACTTCTGTATACACAGAACATAATTTTAAGAAGCATATTTGTCTTATATATAAATCTTACAATTTCTTTATTCTTTGTATTTTGTTATCATCAAAACTCTAATTAAGGGTTATAGAATCAAACTATGTTCTAACAGAGTAATCTATAAATTAGCAATTTAAAATTTGTGAATGATGTGTAGGAGTAAAATCTAAAACAATCTTGTTACTATCCACTAGGAAGTTGAAAAAGCCCCCATCCAAAGTGTGACTGGGGAGAAACCTGACCTTTGTGTTGGTAGAATAAGCTGACTACATCAACTGTGTATTGGGTGTCATGTTGAAATATGACATTTGACATAAAAAGAAAAATACCGAAAATTAAGGAGAACCATCCAAATTGTTGCTTTCTCAAACAGTTAAAGGAAAGACAGTTTTATGTTCCTCATAGTTTTCTAGTTTTATTAGTTATTATTACCGAAAAAAGACAGTTTGATTACTCAGCACTTGGCAGACAAGATGAGCATTAATCTGTGCAGTCAAAAGAAGTAAGGTCAATTACCATTGTTTTGGTGAACATGGGGAGTTCCTTAATACGAAGTGGAGAGACAGATCTGCAACACTGCAACAGACAAATGATCCCTGCAGCATGAGTAATGTGAAATAAGAGCACATATCCCTGCAACTGTCTGAAATGGAAGTTCTAAGTAACTCAAATTGAAAGTAAGGATAGTAATCATTCTTGTATTATCATCGCAACAATAACCAGCGAGTACCATATGTAAAACCAATAACAGAAATGAATTACCCAAATTAGGCGTGTAAGAAGCACCTCAATTTGAATCATCTCACAAGTTGTAGAGCCTACAGAAAGCCAAAGAATATGTTATGACAACAAAGTTTTCAGTTATGGGTCTTGCAATTGAATATGTCAACTGCTGGGAAGGAATTAATAATGGGAGTCCTTTTGATTAATGTTTGAAATTTTGATGCAAATTTTATTTCATAAATCTTTTAACATCACCAAAAATATATAGTCGCAATAAGATGTAAATAATCAATTTAATTACCATAGTATCCATGAAGAAGTGAGCAAATGAAACTATAAATTTCATTAGAAGGAAATTTCAAGAACTTGCGTGGTTGTACAAATCAAAGTCAGCATGATCAATATTCCCAGCTTAATCATCAAAGTAGTTAGCTGTTTCAATATCTGTAAGACAAAATAAAATGATGTTTTTAAGACCAAACAAATCATTAACTATATCATTCACATATGGCCACAACAATAACGAGATCTCTGCTCAGATAATTTTTACCTGAAAACATGAAAAAACATTTGTTGTGAATCAGCACCCAAACGACCTTTTTTACAAACATTCATCCATACCACCTCGTACAGCAAACTGCAAACAACATGAAAAAGAGACAAATGTTCAAGATACAGAAAGTAGATAGAAAAGGTGGAATAAGTTGGCTGGGATAGTAGTAGGGTTTAATTTTAATCTGTTTAAAAGAAAACGAAAAAAGTTGGTGCAGAGTACGAATGAAATTAGAAAAGTGGCATTTACACGAGGCAGAGAAAAACATTTACCAATTTAAAATCCAAGTTCAAGCTTAATAAATTTATGTGCGGTTAAACTTAATGTGTTTGATGTGGGAAAGTTTGGGCCAAATTTGCGGGTGTTTCATGCGGCACCGTTCTTCCAGCAGAGGACATTCATAGATTTGAAGTTTAAGCAGAGAGGCAGGTAGTATGCTGTCTCCCGCTATATTCTCCAGCTTGGGAGAGTCTTTAATTGATAGTTTTCGGAGGGACGTGAGGTGGAGAAGCCCCCTGCACTCCAATGTGTGCAAACTTGACATACTCCGTAGCTCAAGGGAGGTAAGAGAGGGAGGTAGCAACGCAAAATCCTGGTTGGGGAAGGACTGGGCACTATCAGTAATGGTAAGACGGGTAAGCATGTCTGTCAAAGTTAGAGACGGGCTCCTTAATAACTTCTCGCAATTTGAGATTCCAAGTGATCTTAAGCTAGGCGGCATACCTCCTTCAGGAAAAGTCTCAATTTCTGGGCAATCTTCTATTGTCACATTTTCTAACATCGGGAGAAGAGTATCTACGTGACAAGGAAGTGACTTTAAATTAACGCAGCAGGAGACATACAATGTATTCAAGTTTGGCGCAGACAATCCCTCCCTTGGGAATGATACAAAATTGGGGCAGTCTCTAATATCAATCTTAACGAGATTTTGAAGAATTTTCAAAGCAGAAAGATATTCTATGTTTCCACAGTTTTTGATACACAAACATTCAAGATTTGGAAAGGCTTCCAATGGGAGGGTTCTAAGAGAATCACAACTCCTTTCTATATACAAATACCCAAGTGACTCGAGTTGGTGGTTTTGCATTGGGAAGTCTAGATTTTCACAATTCTTGATAGTCAGGCACTGCAAGGATGCGGGCAAACAATCTCTCGGAAATGATATTGCAGACGAACAATCCCTAAACTCTAAATCATAAAGAGATGTTGGTAGGGTGATTCGGAAGGCTTCAAACACGGACTCTGTCACCTTTCTTCCTTGAGTTTTTAAATTTTTTAATGAAAGTGGTAGTATCTCTGGTAGTGCTACTTTATTGCTTTCACACACCTCTAGTTTAGTTAAGACAAGGGACCGTGGGAGAGAAGAAGCAAGTTGGTAGCATCGTTGAATCCCAAGTACTTTCAGAGCAGGAAGATGAGATGGCAAATTTCCCCGTAATATAGGACAATCAAAAATCAAAAGGATCTTCAATATAGGGAAGGGAGCATATGATTCATGGGGATGATGCCACACTTCCCAACAAGGCATGTTACGGAACTCAAGATGCTCAAGGGAAGGAAAAAGTGTCTCCGAAAATAAATCACCATATTCAGATCCAATAATCTCCACCATACTCATTCTACTGATTCTCAATTTCTTAAGACAGTGTAGTTGTCCTAGTGGGGGCAGGATGCAACAGTTATGACAATTATAGAAAGATAAATCAGTCAAATTGTGGTAGGAAGGATCTCCAACCCATTTTGGAAATCTAGTGCCCCTGTATCCATTTATACCTAGCCTTTTAAGATTCCTTGCCGGCTGTAAATTGCCAAGTATTTCCATCTCGGTTTCGGAATTTTTGAAATCGTCCTTTGCATCTTGAGACCATACAAACGATAATTTTTCAAGGTACTTCTTATCCATTATCTTTGCCTTTGATGCTTCAAAGCTGTTGGTAACATTCTCTAATTTCTTAATGGAAAGTGATCCGTGAAGATTTGAAAGTGTCCCCAGTTCCTTGATCCCTTTCTCTTCATGTTTTCCCACAATAAAGTAACTTAAGTAATGCAAATGATTTAATTTTCGCATTCCAACAGGCATTTCTTCTAACTTATCACTTCCACGCAAATCAAGATGGCGCAAATTTACAAGATTTTGCATGTCATTGGGAAGCCAAGTTAGTTCTCGACAATTGCTCAACCTCAACGTTTGTAGATTATACAAATTACACCAAGACTCTGGTAAAGTTGTAATCGTCGTGGAAGAGAGATCCAAGTATCGCAAATGGATCAATTCAAATATCGAATCGGGCAATGCATCAAGACATGGAGAGTTGCGAAATGACAACACTCTCAAGCTCTTCAATGTGGATAAAATGATGCATGATGCCTTTTCGATATCAGAAGAAGGGGGTTTTAAATTGTTTGTCAAAAACGTCCTAAGATGTTTTGCTCGGGCACAAATATCCAAGCTTTCCAAGACTGGACCACTGAAGCTTCTAAATGATAAATGACGGGTCATGGTACAAATCTTCGCTTCTTTTCCAAGTTCTGTTCTGAAATAGAAATCTCCACCGAGCAATATTGCTAAGTCATGCACCAGATCATGCATCACAAAATGATGGTAGTTGTTCCAACTTCCCGAACGTTGAAAAAATGATCTAGAAGCTAAGTCGTTAAAATACGCATGACCAACTTCTTCTAAAGTCTTGTTATTTTCTGAAGGATGTAAAAAATCCTCAGCCATCCACAACAAGATTAATTCATCTTTATCAAATTTATAATCCTTGGGAAACAAGGAACAATATAAGAAGCAACGTTTTAAATATGGAGGGAGATAATGATAACTGATTCTTAGAGCTGGAATGATATTACTCTCATTTTCCCAAATATTACTATTTAGTATATTATCCCAATCCTTGATGTCCCGTTTACTTCGCAACAAGCCCCCAAGTGATTGTGCTGCTAAAGGCAATCCCTTACATTTTCTAACAATCTCTTTGCCAATTCTAAGGAGATTCTTATTCTCACTGAATTCTTGTCGAGAAAGGCAAGCATGGTTTGCAAACACTGACCAACAATCTTCATCAGACAAATGCTCAAGAGAGTAATCATGAAAAGTTTGTACCATAGAAGCAACATTTTGGATACGGGTTGTTACAAGAATTCTACTTCCTTTAGCTCCGTATTGAAGAGGCCTTAAAAGAGAATTCCAGCCGTCATAATCCTCGGTCCATACATCATCCAAAACAATTAAGAACTTTTTTCCAGCTAGTTTTTCCTTCAAATCACGATGAATCAACTCTTTGTTATTTGTGCTACAAGCCTTCCCCATAATTGACTCCAAGATGGCCTTTGCAACGTTCAATTCATCAAAATCATCAGAAACACAAGCCCATGCTTGAACATTGAATTTCTGCTTTATAGTGTCAAGGTTGTACACAGATTGTGCTAAAGTAGTTTTTCCCACTCCACCCATGCCAACTATGGGGATCACAGAAATCCCATCATCATCTTCATCTAAGAGTAATTTGATTATGGCATCTTTATCATGATCCCTGCCAAATATGACAGATCTGTCTTCTAAAGAGGTTGATGGAGATCTCCAGGATGAGTGGTAAGTTGCAATATGTTGAAGACAGAGAATATGTTGGAATTTGAGAATGTATTCAAGCCTAGCAACTATATCTTCCAGCTTACAACCCAAATCTCTTTCCTCAGAGTTGAAAAAGCTAGAGAAGTAGTTAACAGTACTCACCTCCTTGTTCTTCTTGGAAATAGCAGCTTTGGTAGAGATATGGTCGAGAATGTCATCAGCAAGATAGAGAGCATCTTTGAGATCATCAAGCCATTTGTTAACAGCAGAGTCATGAATCTGCTTCTGTTCGGCATCGTTAAGCACAGCTTCGACAGCATAAAGAGTGTTCTTCAACCTTTGGACCAAATTGATGTCAACTTTCTTCCCACGGATGAAGTCAGCAACATGAGGAGAAGCAAGCCTGTCGAGGACAACTTCAATGAAAGCAGACAGAAAAGCTTCACCAACAACCGCGGCCGCCATAAAGTTGATGGATAAGATGATTGAGTGATGAGATTGTACTGTAATAGAAATGGGAAAATCAGAATGGTCAACCTTTAATTAGCACTACATAGAAACAAACAGACTACGGAACAAGACAATTACTATTTTTATTAAATTTAATTTAGAATAAACCGTTAATTAGCACTAATAGTTAATCAATATTTAATTTAATTTAGAATGAACCTTTGATTAGCAATTAGTAGTTAATCAATATTTAACACCGATGTTAATCCATCCAGCGACCTTAGTCCTTAGCTCAGTTGGTAGAGGCAAGGACTGTCTCATGCTGTCATCTTTAGGTCAACAATCTGATAGGTCGGACCATTTTAATAATTAGTGGTTCATTGATTGATTATTTTGAATCAATTATTAAACTAGTTTTTCAATTGTTTTTAAAATGAAAGAAGGATAAGTAGTTTTTTGTTTTGAAAGAAAGACAGGTTAACAGAGTTATTGGAGATTGTGAAGGAGAAGCACCGTCAACGTTAAGAAATCCTTGCGGAAGAGTTTCTCATCGGAGGGGAGGAAGGTTATTTTTTTCTTTTACGGTGAATGGAAAGGAAAAATTATAGCATCGGTCTTTCATTTCACTATCCAACCTTAATCATAAGTTTTTTTTTTTTTTACGGTTATTAACTGGAGGATTTTCCGTTGAAAGAGTTATTTTGACATTTAATAAACATAACTTCAAAATTGAAAAAAGAGTTTAACAAACGTTTAATAAACAAAAACAATTAGACCAAATTTAGAACTGCTGGTAAAATTAAAATGAATGGCTTGAAATATCACTTGAATGACACTTTCAAAGGTCACACAATCCATGTTCATATTAATAGCACTTTATATAGTTTCTTTCAAAGCCATGACTTTTGTTTCTATAATGGATAGAACACCGAAGTGCACCAATCCCTATTAGTAGTTTCATGATTATTGTTGAAGCCTGCATCAATATTACACTTCACGCATCCTTCATTCGACGGTTTCCAAACTATCGAATTATAGGTGACATTGTTTATCTCATGTACCTAATGAGTTGCTTACCAATTATGTCAATTGAAATAGGCTTGCAAGCCTAGCTTTGTAAATTCCTCCTGATCATTATTCCAAACAATGTTATTACGATTCTTCTAAAGAATCTCAATTAACACAACAAATTTTCCAGTTTCCCTCATATCCTCTCTACTACATATATTAAGGATAATGAATTTAATATTATTGAAGAAATATAAATGGGATTTAATGATAGAAGACAAACATGCTAACCACCAATAATGACTAATAGTAATACAATTAAAATAACACATGGCAATCATCTTCATCCTCTACCTCGCACACCTGTATTTACCGTGGAAATTGGTAAACAACCGCTGATCCTCCAAAAGGTTACTTATTTGGTGACTCGCAGGATCGATCAGATTGATCCTAAGACATGGTTGATTTTTGGGGTTTTGACTAAGTTTAATGATGGTTAATGACAAGAAAATAAAGATACTTTATGTAAATTGCATGAAGAAAACTTGGCAGAATAAAAGAAAGCTTTGAATAGAGGCTTCGACTGAAAAAGTAAATGAAAGGCAATAAAGTTCTGGAAAATAAATGACTTTGATTAATTAAAATGGTGTTTCACACATACATTCTCAACAATTCTTTCGCTCACACTGGATACTTGAATCTAAATGAGTGACTTGTATATAATTGTGAACACACGCGAAAAACTACGTGAACTACTAGTATTTATACTAAACACATCTCAAGTAACCGTCGGGCAGTTACACTGCTTCGAGATGACTCCACTTGGCATGCTTACAGCATTCGACGCTCCAGATCTTGGCACGTTGCACTTGGTAACCGCTGGGAACCGTTTTCCCTCCAAACATTTGAATCTCAAACCGTTCCACTCTGAGCATCGAATACCTTTGTCGAAAAGAATCTTCGACGTCGAAGGCAACAAGATTCCTACTTAGAAGAAATTCTCTAAGTACCTTGCCATCTTCTGATGGGCATTTCGACAGAACCAGCTGGTCGAAACCATCCTTCTCAATTAATGGTTTATATTAATAAAAACAAGGGTGTCGAGTTTAGGAGCCAACAAATTGCCCCCCAAGAATGCCTTATTTCGACGCTGAAAAGAAAAAGGCATTCTTTGAGATTCCACTCGACACCTGTCCTTCAATCTTAGCCACAAATTAACCTGTGCGCTTTTTGTCTTCTACCAACCAACTGACAATCCCAAGAAAAAACCATCATTCCATCTGTACCTAAGACGTCACCTCAGTAAGGCGTTTAGCGTGCCCAATGTCTTTTCACAGATTGTCATCATGACAATTTCCCAAAAACGAGGGTGCACGCTGCACCTTTTCGTTTCTGCAGAACGGCTATGTCAGCGAAGGAGCGCCACGTGTCCCACTATCTTCTGCAACATTAAATGGCCTCGAATTTTGTGATTTCCCAGCCACTATAAATAGCGCTAGGTACCCATTGTGGGACTTTTTCACGCTATTCTGCATTCAAACCTTATTGTTGAACACAAAATCTCTGCTAACACTTGCAAACACTTTGTTCTTCACTCCACCTTCAATCTTAACCCAAAAATGGCTTCAGGTTCCTCTAATGCTCCCAGTTCCAACATTCCTTCTAGAAATGGTAAACCAAAAATCTTCTCAACTGTTCCAACAGTTACCTCTACAGGCCTGCGAAGGGTTCCTGAACCCCTGGAAACTGCTGAGCGTGAAGCTTACTCCAACCAGATTTTCGCCATGTCTGGCCCGTTATCCACATGCATTGATGAATCTACGAAGATCAAGAACTTCTTCCCAGTGCTTGAGGCGCTCAAACCTGTTGGATGTTCCAAAAAAGCTGCAGATGACAACGAAGATCCCGCTAAGGAGAAGATAGATCTTCGCTTCTTCAATAGGGGTGTTAGGGATTTTAGGTCTAGCCCTAGCCTCACACCAGACTACAACGCTTGGCTAGAGAAGATGGAAAAAAGCCAGGCTTCGATCTGGAAGAACCTGGGGATATACGACCTAGTCATGCTGTCGAAGACGGGTCTCAACTACTCCCCTGAGATGCTGATAGCCTCTTTGCTTTTCTGGGATTATACTCATTTCACTTTCCACCTTCCTTGTGGAATGCTAACACCCACGCTTTTCGACGTGGCTTCCATCACCGGTCTTCGACCAACTGGGGATTATTTCGACCCAGAGGAAATGTCGGAAGACCAAATTGGGTTCTCAGCTACGAAACCCACCTATACCACCTATATCAACCACTACCATGATAGGTCGACAGCCAATGTGACGGATGTGGAGCACATTGCGTTTCTAGCCCTTTGGCTGTCACGCTTTGTGTTCTGCACAAAGTCTCTTCAGGTGACGAAGAAAATGGTCACCCTCGCTACCCAGCTTCACCATGGCCAAAACATTTGCTTGGCAGAATTAATCCTGGCGAATCTGTATGAATCGATCAGCAGTGGAGCGACTCTGTTAAAGGTCATCGAAAATAGAGCCAGTTTGTTGCTTGCAGGACCCTTTTGGCTACTTCAACTATGGCTAAATGCCACTTTCGAGTCTTTCTTACCTCAGAAAACTCAGATAAATGAGCAAGCTCCTGAGATAGCAAAAAGGCATATCGAAGGCACCAGATTGGCCTTACTGACCCCGACTGAAGATGGGCTGGAACTTCAACAGACTTTTGCAAACTTCGTCTTGATGTTTGCAAGAAGAAAAGAATTCACTTCGACCATGGCTCCTTTCGCTCGTCGAAAGGTTGGTCCAGAATGGTTCACCAGGCCCCATCCCAAGTCGCCAGGTGACCCTCATGTCGAAGAACACACAATAATGTGGGAAGCATTTCTCACACCCAGAATAATGCCACTGCGCTTTAAGAGCTCCAAGAATCACATGAGCTTGATCGCTTACCAGCCAAACTTGGTCTCTCGACAGTTTGGTATCATTTAATCACTTCCTTCTCCTATTTTTCCTAGGGAGAAATCAATGTTATATTTTTGCAATGACTATACTGTGGATGCTGCCACCAAGCATATTGGCAGGTATGCTGGTCGAACAGTACTTTCACTGTTCGATTATCAACTTAACTTCCTTTGTTCACCATCTTTCGAAGATTGGTGGAAGAGTTACTATGCTGAAGAGTTCTTCGACGAAAAAGATTTTGTGGACGAACTTCAGAAGTCTTTTGTTCTAGTCCTTGACAAAATAAAGAAATGTACGTTCACTCTCCAAATTACTTTTGTCTTTCCATTTCGACTTGTAACTTGTTAATTATAACTTGTGAACGCGTCTTCTTTCAGTTGTTCGAAAGCCTGTAGTAAAGAAAGCCGCAGAAGGCCATCAGAGAGGAGGTCCCTTGACAAAACCTTCAGCACCGGCGAAAACTACAGAAAGCCATCAGGGGGGAGGTCCTTCGATAAAACCTTCAGCACCGGTAACCAAACTTTTATTATTTCCTTCTGGTTTTAACATCTTGATTTCCGATGTAGCGTTCTAAATCGAACTCCAATTGGTTTTCAGGCACCTTCACCCAAGAAACGACCTGCACTAACGGTCGAATCTGGGAGTGACGATGAGGACGAATCTCCCCCCGCTCCTCTTAAACGGAGAAAACTGAAGAAAGATGCTCCTTCTCCTGAGTCTCGACCCATGATCAGAATAAAGGTTGCAGGGAGAAGACCCAGGCCACCTCCCGTGATTATAGAAGAACCCACGGAGGAGGAGCTAAAT